GCTAGGGCATCCCCGCCCCGGGCAGCAGGGCGTCCTCCTGGGGGACAGCGGACGGCACTGTCCTAGCACACGCACACACATGCACTCGCGGGTCGCCACGCTGCGCCACGGCGCGGGAGGGACAGCTGCAGGTCGGGATATAGAGGAGGAGGATGGCGGCGTGGAGCGACGCGGGGCGGCCGGGGAGGCAAAACGTCGCGGTGCGCTCGCCAGCGCTCGCCTCGCTCGGGACGGGACTGATAGCCGGGCCGGGCCAGCAGCCAGCGCCGCCAACAACGGCGAGGTGCACCAGGAGAGGCGGCGGGGAGGGGGCGCGGCAGGCGCGGCCGCCGGGCGGCCGGGGGAGGGGCGCGCGGCGGCGGCGGCGGGGTCGTGCGGGCGAGCGGGCCGGGCGGCGGGCTGGGGCCCCAGCGGCACGGCCGGGACTCTGCGGCCCGCGGGCTCCGCGCCCTACCCGCGCCCCGCACACACGTGGTCGGACACACAAGTCACATGAAGTTTTTACGGCGGGACGACCTGTTGCGCCAACTGCAGCGGCGCCCGCCACCCCGTCGCACCATAGCACAGGAGGGCAGTAAAACGGAGGCAAGAGCAGCGCGGCGAGGGGAGGCGGCGTCGCGACGGCGCCAGGGAAGTCCAAGTGCCCGTTCAGGGTCGCCGCCCGCACACGCTCACGACCGGCGGCATACCATCATCCCCCCGGTTCGCTTCCGTCGTCGCCGACGCCCGCTCGTCCGAGAGGCAGGCAACCCGTCCGGCGCCGGCGCCTGTCGGGATCGAACAGTAGGCGAGCCCCGCCCCGGGACAACCTATTTCGAGACGCGGGGCGCGGCGCGTCGGCGCGGGCCGCGGAGGGGCGGCGGCGGCGCGGTGCCAGGTACCGGCTCGGGGCGCACGCCAGGAACACCAGGACCTCATCGAGCGAACTATTGGATCGTCCGCCCCGCGGCGGGGTGGGTGGCGAAGGCAGCAGGGGCCGCGCAGGGGGCCGCACGAGGGCGGCGGCGCGCCGGGCTTTCGGCGGCGACAATTTTCAGGATAAACGACCGGTCGCGGCCTCAGAAAATCTCCCAAATCTCCCCCTGAGCCCGAGCCCGCCGCGTTCTCCCAGACCGCGGCCCCCGGGGCAAGGCCAGCCCGCCAGCCCTGCGGGCCCCCGGCAGCCGGCTACCCGAGGAGACGGGCTCCCAGAAGCGGAGGATCGCGATAGCGATAGCGCCCTATCACGGCCTTATCAGAGACACCAGTGCCCCCTGTCTCTTCCGGGCCGCCGTAGGACTCACTCTAGGGTGGGCGCCGCCTCCGCCCCGCCGAGCAGCGCCAGCATTGTCAGAATGACAAGCCCGACGCCCTGGCCTGGCGGCGGCGGTAGGGACTATAACTGCGCCGTCGCCTCTTAGCGTCCATTTCCGCGTGCGTCGCGGCGTCCCCGCGCGCAGCGCCATGCCGTCGCGCCCCGCGGCGTGGCGGGAGGGGCCGAGGCGCGGCCGCGGTGCCGGCGGGCACGATGACCGACCCACCCCTGGTCACGCCGACCCGTGTGCCCTGGCATGGCGCGTCGCCATGCCGTGCCAGACGCGCTGAACTTTACTCGCTGCCAGAATATGTCGACGGGAAGTGGAAGTGCAGCGCCAACCACACCCCCGCGGAGGCAGGCGGCGCCCCAGCAGCGTGCCCCAGCGACGACGCAGCGCCGCCGCCGTTGCACCACAGGGGCCGGGGCGAGGGGGAAGCAGGGCGTCCAGGTGGGGAGAGTGACTGACGGACACGTGCGAGTCGGCCTACTTGACGTGCCCCACGGCCCCGCCACCACCCCGCTGGCACCCGGTAGGCCGGCCCCATGCCGTCACGCAGCGCCACGCCGCGCCACCAAGACGACAAATGTCGCGACAAAAATACCGCGAGCCGGCGCGGGGCGGGGCGAGGCGTGCACGCCGGTACGCCACACGGCGCACCACCACACCACCCGCTCCTCGGCACCGAGCTGAGAGGAGAGGCAAAGACCCGCCGAGATGCACGGCCAGCACCTTCCACTCATCATCTTCCTCCTCCGGCGTCCGTACTGGGTACCGGCCGTAGAAAAAATCGGGCTCGCCGAACAGGCATGATGGCGTCGCGAGGCGATTCCTGCGTGCCGCGAGCCTCCAGTCTCCTCCACTCTCTCTCTCTCTCTCTCTCTCTCTCTCTCTCTCTCTCTCGCACGCTTTGTCTCGAAGCGAGAGGGACCGAGACCAAAAACAGTGCGAGGCACGCATCAACATCCCCCGAAGCCTCCTCAAGACCCCGTGCAGTCCAGGTCTGTCCGCACGCCCGCCTGTCCCCCCGCTCGCTCCCCTCCCCTGCAGCGAGTCCACCTGACCCCGCGCACCTCCTCCCCCTCCCCCTCATTGCAACAGGCGTCACAAACATGCGAACAACGGCGAGCTCATCTGTGTGCGAAACTGGGGAGAGGGGGAGGGGAGGGGAAGGGAGGGGGAGCGGGCGGGAACAAAAACCTCCCAACGGGATTACCGGACCCGGGCCCTTCAGAAAAACTCCTACAGGGTGATCCACGAGTCTCCGGGACCTCGGGACCCCGACGACGACGACGATTCTCCACGGGCAATTAGACGAGGAACAGCCCAAAACAGACGCGACCACCCCGCCGGGGCAGCCAGCCTCCGTCACACACGGTGGCGTGGCGCGCCTGGCGGAGGTATAGTGGAGGGGCCGCGCGGAGACTCTCTAGTGAGTCGTCCAACATCCGAAATAGACCCCGCCGCTCCGCGCTTCCTGGCGTCGCGACGGCGGCGTCGTGGGCGCAGGACCCGCAGGACACGGCCTGGACAGTGGCGAACAGACGCGCTCCACCCACTCGCTCGCAGAAGCCGCTTTGCACACTCGCGCGACACTAAGACTCGTTTGCACGGGGCTTGAAGGGTGGTGGGCATTACGTAATTTGTAGAGATGCGGCGCCCGGCCCGCCAAGGGAGGGTGAACTGTCTAAAATTAGACAGACGTGCTTATGTAATGAGGCACAAGACTAAGGCCCCGCCGGCGCTCACATGACGGGGGTTATGCACTAGAATTTCCGAGCGGCATGCAACCCCTTGGAAAATAAAAATACAATTTGAAGCAAAGGGGTGTATAGGTGGAAGGTCACGAGCTGACAGGTAGACGCACTGAAAATATGTCCAGGAATGCTGATGACACAATGACATGCTAGTATATAAAAAAAAAAAAAATTCTTACAGAGATAAATTAAAACAAGGAGGAAAGAAAACACAAAATTAATTTTGTGTGAATACTGGTACTCGTTCTTTACAGAGACCCTTTCAGTGCTCAGTTGCTTTACATCTATATGGTTGTAGAATCAACGAGTGTTGTTCTGTCAACATGTGTCACGTTTCTCTGAGAATATATATTATTATTAAACATGTACCATATAAAACTGGATGATGACGAAATTAAAAAGAAGGCTAAAACAGGCGCTATTCTCGGTATTCCCTTCAGGTCACAAGACAAGAGCATTGTTGCAAAAGTCGGCGCTTTCAAAAAGATGCGCGTTCCGTGAAAACCAAAATGAATATGAATCTACAGTTGGCGGCACAATAGCAGAAGCAACATCGGCAGACGGGACTTAGACTGAAAACTTGTGAAATCTGTTAAGAGTTCTCAAAATTTTGCTATTAGACCAAAACAATCTTCATTGCTTCCAGTAATACTAGCAAACGAACTTTCGAATGGTAGTATTGGCATGTCTGTATGCGCTTCGTGTTCCAAGATGAAGATTCGTTGTGCGGCACGGGTCTATCGACTTAGAACGAAAACCGGCGAATTTTGTTAAGAGTTCTCTAAAAAGTAGTGTCAAACTTGAAAAAAGGTCCATTGTTGGTCACGCCTACAACATTCCCAGTTTCGAATGGTACAAGTATCATAAGTGTACATATTCTGTACTCCGAGCATGAATAGCGTTACGCGTGACATCGCACTGAGATCAATACTCGTTCTTCTACCACTGAGTAGGTGCAGGTGGTGGTAAAGAACGAGTAAAAATTGTACTCACAGCTAACATCAGCTTGACAACAACCGCGCGTCTGTCAGCTGTACAGCTGTCAATTTGACAGGGCTGTCATAAGTGACAGTAAATGTCAAAAATTGGAGAACAAAATATTTCTGTATCGAATGGTAGGGGTTTCCTTAAGTCAGCACAAATTTTACTTTAATTAAAACCATGAACGAAGAGAATGATGCAATTACCGCAAACTGGGCCACTCAAAGGAGCCTGCTGTAACTGACAGATGACAATCCCCTTTTCATAATCTGTTTCAAACTTCAAGTGGGGCACTTGGGGGGGCCACCGCGAGGCGAGACGGGCGAGACCCCGCGGGAAGCGTGTCATCTGTTCATGACCACATGGCAGCCAGAGGCCCTCGGGACACACGTGCCATGGGCAAAAGCCACCCCGAGACCCTCGGGAAGGCCCGTCCCGCCTGACAGCGCCGTGACAGCGGTGGTACCTGCGCCCTGCGCCCGCACCTCGCCGCAAAACTTGTTTTGCGCACGGAAAATACGCGTCCCCTTTGGAAACATCCTCAGTACGTAGTGTGCAGACGGACTTCGCCCTCCTGCACAGCCGCCGTCCGCGACATCCATGTCCTGGAGTCTGCGGGGGCTGCTGGAAACAACAAGCAACCATGACAACCATGACGGGGCGAAAACTCCAATGAGAAAGAGAGAAGGAAAAAAATGCCCCATGAATTAATTTGAATTGAGCCGCAATGACATTTGAGCCGAGGCAGCGGCAGCGGCGCTCTCCCATTGGCCGGCGCGCGGCCGTGCCGAGCCGTGCGCCGACTCCGTGTGGACCCCGTGGTGTTTTCACAGCCCATGTCGCTTCTGCAACCACGTGCACGTGTTCTGCGGGAGACAAACGCGGCGGACTTTTGCGGGGCCACAGACCTGGACAGACAGCGGACCGAACGGCCGCGGATTGACACGGACACCAGGAAAATACTCACGTCGTTTGTACTTCATTAGATCCGCCGGGTAGACTTGCGAGTAGCGAGGAGTGAAGCGGAGCGACGAGCCAGCCGAGCTGTCACTGCGGACACCCGACGGCTTCCAGGACCTGAACTTGTTCATGGCGAAGTCGTCAGAACGTTTTGAACGCCCGACAACTTATTTGAGCGCCGCTGTAGCGCCGCCGAGTCTTTGAACGCCGCGCTCTGGCTTGTTATGCCCCCCTCGAGCTCCGTCAAAGTGACCGCACACGAGGTTAGAGTCTGCACAAACTTCTCTACGTTCACCGAAACGTAGAGTAAACGTCACTTAAATCTTGTCACCGAGTGTCAGACAACGCACGCACCCACTGATTCAACGTTTACCAACAAAGTCACTGTTTTTCTTGAGGTTTACGACGACAACACGGAGCTCCTACATGACAGCGTGCTGTTGACAGGATTTTTGAGTTCGAGTTTGCTTCGGGCAGGCGGGCAGGCGCAGGCGCCGCTCCGATCTAGCGACAGATGAGCAGCAGGTAGGGTGAGGGGGGCGAGAAGGGGGAGAGGGGAGGGCGACGGCGGGCCCGAATGTTGCCGAAGGCGCGGCCGAGGACAGCCGAGTGCGGCCCGAAGCGGAGCCGTTCGCGAGCCGAAGAGCCGAAGTGTCGACAAACAATTTGATGCTAAGAATACTTCTTTGCGTCCCAATTTGGATGTGTTTTCTGAAGTGGGCGTTGTTGTAATCAATCAGGCCGGTTCGTTTTCCTTGGAAAATGTGTTTATGCCTTGGGCTCGTCCAAGTTAGAAAGAAACATTGCCTTTGTTGGGTCAATCAGCTGTTTTTTTATTTTTCAAAATAATTCGCCCTTAGCAGCCGAACTGGTACCAACCTTCGCACGATGAAGATTCGGTGTCTGTGCTGCCATCCGGAAAATTCGAAAGAAATGACGGCTTGCTTGACAAATCATTCAAGTGAAATTGGCATTTGCCCAGTCTTCAGCTGACAGTAAATAATTTTAAAATCTTTGTTGTGCTCGAATTATTCGCAGCTCAACACATGCTTGACATGACATAACATTTGTCTTCTGCTGAGGATCTCACAAATCTCCAACTCTGCGCATGAGACATGAAACATCCGATAGTTTCTTAGTTATTAATGCGAGTCATTAATGCGAGCCATTTATTAACCTTACAACTTAAAATTGTCTCTTTTTCTGAACATTTAGCTGTAGTTTTGTAGTTTTTGAAGTGTAGTGCTTTTTCTGCCGAAAAGGTTGCTGTCAGTATGGACTGATGGAGGGGGCATATGTTGCCAACACTAAAAACCAAACGACAAGTTCCCTAAACAGAGATTGTTCTTTAATGGGAATCGCTTATCAGTGCGGTTAGTAACTTACGTTTTATAAACGTAGTCTTGAATTCAATTTATTGGAGAGTATTATGTCAAAACCTCCGGTTCAAAAATGAAATATGTCGACATTATTTTCATACTTTAGTGTTGGCAGAACATCTGTCAGGCTGCGTGTTCTCATGTCTGTAAACATACCGACGCAAACGGCCCTACCAGTGAAAGGGCCACCTGTTCACACTTTACGTCCATTATTTTATGACTCTTTTCCCGTGGCATTCCCTATATTGTGGGAATCTGCGTCCATTGCGATGCGTATTGCGGATTTATTTACGTCAGTGTCAAACTTGGCGTTTTGATTTGAAAGGTGTTGGTTTGTTTTACATTCTGCCCACTGGTTGGTAGCAATACGGCCCCTCGTCAAATCCCCTTCCACTTCCCTGTCTTATCGGGAATTTCCAAACAGTGTCTGTCTGTGTAATGCGTTCCTTCCCTGGGGCAGTTCGCCAGACAAACATTACCGCTTACGTTGGTCCCCCTTCTCTCAACGGGGGATTATGTCACCTGCCGAATTGTCAATGTATCACCTGCAAAATTTTGTGATGTTGTGTTAGTGGATGTCAGTGTTAAGTGGCTCCAGTGAGAGGCGAAAGAAAATTTGTTATCGTGTGACTTGAAGATACTTATCACCGAGGAGAGGTTAGGCGCTAGCATTCCTCTGTGCTGGTGTTGTCATCACATATTACACGTAAGTCACCAACAAGCACTCTGAAACCGTTGTAATGGTAAATAGTGCTCAAAATGCTGGGGGTGTTTCAAAGGAGTGTGTCCTTAACCTGTCAAATTTTGATGTCCCATTTCCACCTAGCCATGGTTTTGACATCAGTGGTGGTGTTGACAGTTGTGCCACAGGACAATTATCTTTAGAGTATAATTTAGAGTTTGTCTAAATTCACTGATTTAAAAATACACATAATTTATCTGCCATGTTTCCAGAATTAAACTAGGTTTTAATTGTCTATTGTGAGATCTTTTTCACTTTATTTAAATGTTAATTTATTAATTTAACATACTACCCATTTGTTTGAACAAGTGAAACGAGTACTTGCATGGAAACTATTTGTTCTGGATTTATTTTCAAGTCAGATTTATCTTTCACTTTTCTAAGGTTGCACTTTTTGAATATCTGTCCACTCCAGGAGTCAACTTTTAGGCATATTGTATACACATCTGTTCTTGCCATATAAAAATAAGCATATTTTGCAAACAGTGATTTACAGTTTGATCAAATCAAACACATTGATATTACATGTGGAGTAAACTTGTCATGGATGTTGTGGTGTCTGGGTAATCATTGTTTGTGTGTGCTGTTTCAGATAAATAATGGCAACATCTGTATCTGAAGGACGCGCTATGCATGAAACTGATCATGGTGGAAGTGATGGTGGAGGTGCGGAAGATGACGACACCGGCTCAGAAGTAAGCAGCGTTGTGAATAATGGATCTGTGATATCAACCGTACCAGACCGGCATGGATTTCTTGGAGGCTCACAGTATTGCCCAGATGAGTGAGTATTCTCTCCATTTGTTACATTAAATGCCCACTTAGTTTATCTTTTTTACAAAGTGACCACATC